ATGGTTGACTCCGTGTGCTCTCAGGATTTGCTAACTCTGGGTCTGATGTCAAATGAACGTGTTGACTGCACAGGCAGGAGGGGTCCTGGTGGTAAGTGCTTCTATCAGTGAGATATTGCAGAAACTCTTATTATCCAGAGCTACACTCAGAAAGAAAACATAAAGATTATCTAAATTCATTACTAAGGGTTGCTTGTTCAGTTGCCCATGTTGCTTTATTTAGCTTCTGCCTAAAAATCAGAGGCTGATAAAGGTCTTGACAACAATTGATTTCTTAATGCTTTACCTCATTTGTAACAAGTTGCCAGTGAGCTGGTGTTTGCTATATACTTGCAAGTCATGAAGGCTCTGAAACGGGACGCTTATTTTCTTTATTTTTTTTTAATCTTTTCTCCAGATTTCTGAGTCCTCTGAATATGCTTATTGGTGGTACCGTGGTGGTGCTGGTGTTCATGGGGTTTGTGTGGGTATCGCACAACAAGGATATACTCCGCAGGCTGAAGAAGCAGTACCCAACCGCGTTTGTAGTGGTCATCATGCTGTCTAGCTACTTCTTGATCTCCTATCTGGGAGATGTCATGGTGTTCATGTTCGGGATCACGCTTCCTCTTCTCTGTAAGTATTTTTCCTCTTCTCTGGGGGGCGAGGGGCACGTGTCTTGAGCTTTCTCAAATAAGTCTGCTGAATCTAAACTGGATGTTGTCTTTACTATCTCTGTTTAAATGATCTCAAAGCAAAATTGCAGGAAAGGGGACACAAAACAGTACAAGCCATCTTTAAGGTTATTATTAAACGGGTACCTGCGGTTACCTGATGGTTTGTTCAGGCTTCATCGTCTTCTAGTGATGTCATGGCATTGGAATATGTCACAAGATGAATGTGGCAAGAACTATGCATTCCTTGAGCATTAACAATTAATAAGTGTGTTTCTGTCATGCAGTGATGTTTATCCACGCTTCTCTGAGGCTCCGGAACATAAAGAACAAGCTGGAGAACAAGATGGAGGGAATAGGCTTGAAGAAGACCCCGATGGGCATCATACTGGATGCTCTAGAACAGCAAGAGGATAGTATCAACAAACTGGCTGACTACATATCTAAAGTGAAGGAATAAGCAGCTGCATCGTGGCATTTCTATCTGTTGCAGGAGTGTAGTTGCTATTTACTATTGTTCAAGCTTGCTTTCAGTTTGTGTACAAAACAGGAAATGCACACGGTGCAGATTAATAGTTGCAGGATAGAGGTATTCCAGGGTCTTCAGAGCTCCTCCGAGAAAATAAGAGCAACAACTTTTTTCTATTGTATAGCAAAATGTTCTGGTGTTTACACAAATACATACTAACTTACATGTGTTTGCTAGTCTCTTCTTCTGGGGAATAGAGGAGGAAGAGATGGAACCTATGGAATGCAGTCTGTCAAACTGTCCTGTAGCAAATCTGTCTATTAAAAGTAACACTCCTTTCATCTCCATTCTACAAGGTGGCAGTTTAGCCAGTTTATGTTGGAATGTTCAAGGTGAGTTGGAATGTATTAAAAGTAGGTATCTCTTGCCTTCTCCAAACCCCTCCCTTGAGTGATCTGTGTTGAGACCACCTTGCTAGCTTAACTGGCAAGCAGTAAAACTGTGCAGTGCTTGTAACAGATATGGGTTCCTGTCCTCACCTCACATTCCTCCTTTAGCAGCTGGGAAACAGTCTAAATAGATCTAAGCATGAAGAATATACGTGGCACCGTGCCTCTGTCTGTTCCAGTAAAACACACCTTTGGTCTCTGAAATCTTGAGATATATATATATATAAAGAAGATCCAAATTTCCTTGTATACCAGCTAAACTATGGCTGAGAGTGGGAGAACAAAAAGTTTTTGGATATGTTGGATGAGCTACATTTCTACCCTATTGATGTTTTTAAATAGTGCTACTTTAGGACTTACCTTGTTCTGCTTTAGTCTGTATAGGCTGTTTTGTAGATGGAGGTTTATGTGTGTTCTTGAGCGTGGGTCATCTGTTTCTTTCTTCTTAACCAGAATGCAAAGATATAACTAAAACATGCATCTCACTAACTCTGTACTTCTGACACTCTTCAAAGGAATAAACTGGATTTCAGGTTTACAAGTAAAAGCAATAAAAGTCAAGATACAGTTTTTGAAAGCCCATTCCAAATTCATGAAGATACTTGCCGGTAACAACTCCTGAAAGTGGGGTGGGTGATTCTTTTGTATGTATTTTAACTAACTGCCAGCTCTGATGGAATTACCTTGATAACAGAAGCTTACAAACAAATAGGGGGAAAAAGTTGTCCAGGTGACACTCTATTTGAAATATTCTTGCATCTCTTTTCTAATGAAGTAATTAATTTAACAAAAAAGCAAGGATCTGTGAAGTTAAAGCTTTTATGTAACTTACCATGCTGTTTCATAGTGAACGGTGTAGAATTCTGAACATGTCATTCCATTTAAGTGTTAAAGCGATCAGTATTTATTGAAAATGTCTGTATATTCCAGCCGAAGAGTCAAGGGCCTATTCCTCACTTGTAGCGCATGGTCTCTGTTTTTTGAAAACTGTTTCCACATTTAAAGAACATAGTAGTAGCCTATGATGTCATCATTACTGTAGACTTTTAAAAAAATGCACAGTTACGAAAAAAATAAATTCTAATGGTGATTGCTGTGTGCATTTATTCGAGGTGGGGAAAACTTGTTGGAAACTTGATCTTGTCTCTGTTTCATTGCTTAGTGAACTCCCTAGAGTGGTGGTGGGAGACCTGCCGTCACTCTGCGGCTCGTCCCGCAAGCCCTTGCTTGTGATTAAGGTGCTGGCTTGGAATGCTCCGTGTCTGTATGAACTTTGCTGAGGCACGAGGGACCTCTGAGCTGCAGGAATGTTACGGCCTTGCACTTGCATCCTTACTAAGACTTCTTTGCAGAGGTGGAGTACTTAAGGCATTTCTTCCTGCTGTTTCAGTCTCTTATATAACTCTACTTTACTTAACTGGGATTTTACATTTCTTTTAATTACCTGAGAGGGATTTTTGCTTCTAGGATTGCTGGGAGCTGTACCTCAAGCACTGCAAGGAGGCCAGCTCTGCTGGGTTAGACTAATGGTGCGATCTCTGTATCTGGCTGCCTCCCTCCTCCTGTGATCACTCGGGGGGAACACGGATCAGAGCGGGGCTGCACAGCTCCTGCTCTATCGTATACCCTGGTAATACGTGTCAGCTGCTTCTGGGTGTAGCAGTCATTGGCATCCGGCAGATCTGCAGATTGTATAACGCTGTATTTTCTTCTTTCCCCTGTCCTAACTGCTGAAATCGCAGCTGCTCCAGCCTGGCCATGGAGAGCAGCATGCCCTAACTGTGTGCTCTTGATGGAGGAGCTGCTTTTTTCACTTGCCACTTGCTGCCATGCTTCATGTGGGGACTTGGGTAAAAGTACCACGTTCCTTTCCTTTCTTACTTTTATTCTTTACAAAAAGAGAGGACTGTATGAAACGAGTGCAATGAAAAATGTTACTTCCTTGTTTTCTATCTCTGCTAGGCAGAAATGGCTCTCCCCTGCCCTTTATGTGATGCTTAAAAATTAATTGCTATGTTTCCCAAGCCTGTGGCATTACTGTTGGAGACAGAAGCAGAGCTGAGAACCTTTACAAGTTGAGAAGGCAGATATTTGGAAGAAACCAGGTGATAGATTCAGAAAGAACAAGGATAAATGAAAATTTGAACTAATGATATCGCTGATAATACAGGACTGTTATAATAAAGGTAGGAAGGCAAGCAAGGTAGAACTGAGATTTAGCTGCTGGGGGAAGGTTGTTAAGAGTTACAGGCAGGAGCAAGGAGACACTCACCTGGAGGAAATCCTGCCAGAAGCTGCAAAGCTGTGCCTTTTGAGCAAGTGTATCAGCCACAGAAAGGCTTTAAAAAAGCAAATAAAAAGCCCTAAAACAACTGGTCTCTTGTGGATGTGTCCCACAAAAGTGTGACTTACCTGTAGCTGCTTTGCAAGCAGTCTTGCAGCAAAAGAAAAAAATACTGTCATTAAAAAAGAGGAGAAAAAATCTCAAAAATATTAAGGAAAAACTAAGTTCTCTCTATGTAGGTTTAACCCCATCACAGCCAGCCCTGCTCAGGGCAAGACAAGCTATTCACACCCCATGCTAGAAGGAATGAAGAGTTTCTTAAATCCCTGGCAAAGAAAGGGGTAAAGCTCATCGTCCTGCCACAAGGATAGCGTGGAGAGACCCAAAATGGCATTTCAGTGTGCTCCAAGGTGCTGTAATTAAGGAACACATCATGGACAGAGGTGAATCATAGGGAATGAGGATTACAGCTCTGAAAGCAGAGCATGTCGTCGTTTTTTCTATGCTGATCAGATACAATGCCAACTAGACTGTGTTTCAAAATAGAGGTAGCTTGAAGCTATTAAGCTGAGGTATTCGATGTACCAGAGCAGTCGTTCTGTTCTGTGAGCGTCTTGTTAGCCATGGAAGTACTGCACACATCTTAGGGAGAGAGCTTTATTTCATTTCTGCTTCCTTAGCCTAGAAAATGAAGCTGTATACACAGAAACTAAATACATTTCTCACGGACAAGAGAATAACAAAGGAGCATGTGTGTGAAAAGAAAGATAAGATGAAACACAGCATGTTCCTGCAGAATCTGGCAGCAGAAGGACAACGTGGAAGCAAAATAGTTTGCTGACAAACTAGAAAGACAAGGTTATTGATGCCTCTGAGAAAATACTCCCACAACAAACTGGAGCTTCAAATCCACTTGGCAGACAGATGGCACCGGGATTGTTTGATACCTGATGGAAACGCTTAGCACTGACTTTTCCCATGCCAGGCATTTTCACCACACTTATAAAAGCGTGTATCGCAAGCTTTGTTCCCAAAGAGTCGTATATACCACCTGGGTTCTGCAGAAAACATCTGCAGAAACAGTTGTAAGCAAAACTTGAATAGTCTTTTTTTCCAAGTTGTTTTCTTCGGGTCAGTCTGGTCTCTCACTCCAACTGCTTTGGCAATGGCACCTGGACAAGGACAGTAAGTATTAGGAGGAGGACATTCCTTAGTCTTATTTCCCAAGTCAGTTTAGTTTAATATAAACCATCAGAAACTAAAAAAAAAAAAAAAAGAACAAAAATACAACAGCTGAGAGCTCCAAGGAGCTCTGCTTGGGAATTTCTTTTGTTTGTAATTCCCCATTTGCTGTTTGTGATTCTTAATGCCCGGGAAGTCAATTTGCAAGCAATGAATCTCGCTACAGAGTGAACAAACACCCAGCTCAGCTCAAGCAGTAGAACCCAGTTTTAGAGACAAAGCTGAGGATATCAAGGCAAATAAGGAATTACCAAGATCACACAGGCAGGTGAGAATGAAACCTTAATGCCCCAAATCCAAGCCCTTTGGCCTAAGGACACAGAACAACACCAAGCAGCTACAAAAAACACCAAACAAAAAACAAACCCCCAAGTGTGTCCATTGCTTCACCTTTCCACGAGCTGTGCTGGCAATTACCTGGCCCGTTTAGGATGGACCATTGATCCTTCCACCCCAAATCCCACAGCTCTGACTTAAAACAACCATCCAAAAATTTTTTGTGGAGGGGGAATGACTAGGGTTCACTATTGCTCCCTGGAACCCGGGATTCTTAATAATTGCAGAGCACTGGCACCGTCCTTCTCCATCTTCCTGAGAGCAGGTGAGCCAGCAGATCCCGTGGCACCAGCAGACCAACCTGCCATCACAAACGTCGTCTTGGCATGCACGCATAAACCGTGACCTTTGCGAGAGCAGGTCTCATCGTCTTAGACACGGCACAGAAATGCAAAATGTTGACTGAGATCTAGAAAGACCAGAAATGCTGCAGAGAGGCCCAGGTTGCAGCTGAGTCAGACTGCCTGGCAGAAACCACAGCCCAAAAAACTTGGTTTGGGGGCAAAATGTTCCCGATAAACCTGGGCCAAGGTCACTGCAAGACTGGCCCCTGCCAAAATTTCAGGATGAACTACTCTGAAATTACTGAGGGAGTAATTATTTCTGTGTAGGTATAAATGAAGGTAAAATGTGGCCCACTGTACTAAAATGTCAATATTTAACAAAACACAAATTATAAAATACTAGACCATTTCTAAGGGCAAAGGATTTTCTGTCCTCTTCCTCTAGCCTTAGCAACACAAAACAGATACATCAACATCGCTAGCTACAAATAAATCAGCCAGCTTTTAGCATTTCTTGACCAATGGTACAATACAAGTAAATACAACATTTCAGGAAAGCAAAAAGTTAACTCTGGTTGCCAACACCTTGAGAAGCAGCCCGTGAATTTGGTACCCAAGTAAGAGCATCACCAAGAGGCACCTGTCACAGTTTGGGACTTGGATTCTCAAAGCCATGATGATGTCAAGCTCACATTTGCACTTGAATTGTGACCACTGAGCACTTTCAGTGGCAAAGGTTTTCCTTAAAAATGAATATAGAAAAACCTGTGGGTTCACTACTTTCTTTCTATAACTTCCCTCCATCTTCACTACTAAGCGATCTAATTTTTTTTTCCTGTTAGCACTAGAATTCTGCAGTTGATTTGAATAGGGACAAAAAAAATCGAGCAGCAAAGGGTCACTAATTTCCTTGTCCCTACATTCCTTTTTACCCAGCAAGGCAGGCAGGAGCAAGTCAGCACTCTCGGTGTCTAGGCTAGATTTCAGTCTGGGTATATCTGTGTGCTGCAGGTGAATTTGGCCCCAATCTCCACTGCTTTTTATCAGTGTATTGACAATTTTCTAGACTTGATGACAGTTTAAAAAAAAACCCAGCAAACCACCACAATTTGTATCTTTTGCCACCAAACAGTATTTTAGAGGGCCAAGTATTTTATCTAAAATATTGTTAGGCAACGGTAAAAATACGCTGTGAGTTCAGGCAGTCAAAACAAAGCATCGTGTAGTCATCCTGTTGTTACAATTCAAAACATAAGGCTCAAACACATGGAAAAAAATATTGTAAGGGCTTTTGCAGTATCACCATTACACAAAGTAGTCCTACTAAAAAAATAACTTTTTAAAAGTATATTAAATTTCCCCTTGCACTAAAGCTTTGAATTTCATTCAAACCAGACCAACCAAAGGTCGTCCCAGACCACGACCCCTCTGTCTTCCCGCAGCCCCGGCCGGGGGGTGTGTGGCAGCAGTCACAGATACCGGCCACCCAGGGGCCTGGGCATGTACCACGGGTGCCAGGCACCTTGCTGGAAGTCCAGTTCCTTGCTCCTGTGCCGTTCCTGAAGTGACCTTGGGTGAGCTACCTTGGCGTTGCAGTTTATCCTTTATCAAACGGATCTGAGTGACGGTGCTTTCCTGTGGAAAGCGAGAGCTAAACCTCACAGGGCTGCTGAAGAGAGAGATCTGGGTTTTTAGGGGGGACTGAGGACAGATTAATGTGGAGAATAGTACCTGTTGGTCTCCTGAAACAGGCAATAGCATTTCCCTATCATAAATAATATGCCATTACTGCTACTGCCATGCTAACACTGAGTTTCTGTGGTTTTGTTTTACTTCCTAAGAGAATTTCCTTTCTTTTATGGGTGCAGACAGGGATGCACGAGGCTGCAGTCTGGGCGCTCGCTGCCATTTCTCAGCACAAGCTGGACTGTAACGCTGCCGAGGGAAACACCTGGGATGCCTGGAACGGGATCCCCCATCCCAGGAACGGCAGCCAGATGTGAAACAACAGCAGCACACTGCACGGGTCCCTTTGCCAGCCCAAGAGGAGGGCCAGCATCTCAAACAACAGTCCTGGAGCGCGCCGGGTGTCGGCAATTCCCTCCCCATGGAGCCAGGGCGAAAGCACTCACCGGTTTAAGATAAGCGACGTTGCTCTGACGAATGTCATTCAGTAGTTGATCTCTCGGGGTTATTTCGACGAGGGGAGGTGGCCTCCTCCTGGGAATTGGTTTAAGCGTTTTGATGACATCCTTGAGGTTGGTTTTCTCGGCGGGTTCCACGTATTCTGGCACGGCGGGTTTGCGCTGAGTCTTCTTCAGCTTGACCACTCTGAAGTTGACGGGCTTCTCGTTGCCCGGCTGCTCAGGGGCCAGCTGCCTCGTGTTCTCCTGCCTTTTGCTCAGAGACACAGCCTTGGGGACGGGTGGTTTGGGGGCTTGTGGGGGTTCGTGCATCCTCGGCTGGGGCAGCGGTCCTCCCAGCATTTCCCACATCCCCGGCGGCAACCCAAGTCCATTTTCCAGCATCGTTATCAACTCTCTCTGCTCTTTCATCTGCTGCTGCCTCTGCTCCTCTTGCCTCTTTTGCCTCTGCTTGTCCAGGTTTCTGCTGAGCAGATTGGTCACCACCATCCTGGGCCCTGGCAGTTCGAAGTGGTACCCCATTTTCAGGAGGGTGTCGTTGGCTTTCAGCAGCCTGGCGATCTCCATCTCTGCCTGGTGGCCCAGCATGCTCCGCTGGTTGTGGAAGCGGAGCTCCGTCAGCGTCTCGTTGTACTGCAGGCACCTCATGATAGCAACCACCCCTTTGCCGGAGATGAAGTTGGAGTCGATGTTCAGCGTGGTGATGCTCCTGTTCTCCCGCAGCATGTTGGCCAGCGCGAAAGCCACGGTGTCATCGGCCCCCACGTTGGCCAAGCTGAAGGTTTTTACGTTCTTGTTCTTTTTCATGGCATTGACAAAGTCTATCAGCATTTCTTTGGGGACGTTTTCTATGTTGTTCAGATTGATCTCTTTCACATCTGGGTTGTTTTTTCGGACCTTATCCAAACTCTCATCTAAATTAGTTTGATTTCCTGAGGGCCTGGCACTTAGCTTCATGAAGCTGGTATCCAGTGCTAACTTTTTGGGGATGTTTAGCTTTGATATTTTCTTTTCATTTTCATTTGGTTTTTCTGTGATTTCTCCCGATTCCATACCTGGATTCTGACTTGCCTGATCATTGCGATGATTCTCATTGGTGTAAGTCTCCTGTGTTTCCAGTTCAGCCACAGCTTCCTCTTCATCATTTTCCTCCTCTTCATCATCTTCCTCCTCTGATTCTTCTTCCTCCTTCTCCTCCCCCTCTCTTTCATTCTCGCTTCTATCATTCTTTGTCTCCCCAAACTGTGTTCCTGAGTTGGACAGGTGCTCGTTTTGGTAATGTCTTTCTTTTCTCTCTGCTCCCGGCACCCTTCCACCAGCCAGCTCACCGCTGTCGTCCTCCTTTCCTTCCACCTCCACAGCATTTCTCTGAGGAAGACAAAACCTCACAGCTGAAATAATTGAACGCAACTTTGCTGCAATAACATCCTGCTCAAATAAACACCTATCAGCTGGAATTAGATACCTTATGCCCATACATTATAGAATAATCCTTTAACTGTCACCTATAAGTCAAGGCTGTGCTAGCTTTCTTGGGAACACAGGAATAATTGCTCATAAAGTGACTGCAAGCTGATTTCCCATCTCTCCCTATTAAATTAAATCCTGACAATTAAATTTTCTGTGTATTTAATGCTATGTTACAGCAGTCCTTGAACCCTCTTAGCAGTTAAGAGTCTCTGACCCAGAATCTCTGGAGAAATCCAGAATGTCTGGATTTTGTATAAGTTTTATCATTTTTTTGACAACAGAGAAAGTTTATTTCACATGTCACAAACCACTGGAAAGCCGAGTTAACCACCAGCTGTTTGCTCAGCCCAGGGACAAGTCAAGAGGGCACTTCATAACAACCGTGAGGTCATCCAGCACATGAGACAACAAGGCCACCTGCTCTGGTACCTGCCAGAGCATCACAGCTAAGGAAGCACTTTTCTGAAAATAAAGCAAAATATTAGCTCAGTTTTATTTTGAGTCCAGAGATAGGAAGCTGGACTCTGCAAACAGCTGTTTGTAAGGCTTCTGGCATCAAAATAAAACCAATTACAAACTTCCACCATCTCCAGAGACCATCCTAGGTGAGATTGACTTTTTTTTTTCCAAGCCTCTTTTTGCAAGTGGACTCTCCATCACTGAAAAGTGCTCATGAAGCACTAATAAAGGATCAGCACATTTTCCTGAAAAGTTTGCACAAGTTCAGGTGGGGCAGTGCCATGGCTTGCACTTCACCAAAAGCCAGACAAAAAATAAAAATAAAAAAAAAAATCTCAAAGTCACTTCTGCCCTCAAGGCTGTGGTTCCTCCCTGCTGTGGTAGTGGATGGGTTTAGTACAGGGGTCGCCTGCCCAGCTGTGAAGGCAGCAGGCAGCTCTACACTCACATTCCAGATTTAACCTCACAAGTGTTAAAAAAACTCGTTTCTTTGAGGGTAAGAGCATTACAGGAGGGAAAAGCCGTAGATTTCATCCCCTCGCCAGTGATGTTATTAGAAAGCCACTAGTGGTCAAAAATTCATTTAGGTTCATATTTCCATTCCGTTAACCTATTTTTAAGTACAGCCCTCATCCTGAAAAATATCTAAGTATGACCTTAAGTTTATTTCAAAGTCGTAAGGGTGGTAGAATAGATTTAAGTACCGTATTGAAAAGGGTTGGACTGGTTCGTGAAGTTTGCATGGTTTAGTGAATGCTTCACGTTGTTAAAATGTGTTTTGAGGGTTTGTCCATTAAAGTCTAACAATTAATTAGTTTAATACATGCGACTCATGTAGTCTTCTATGGAAAAACTACATAGTTGTTCCATATGCAAAGTCAAATAAATTTGAGTTACACCCTCCAAACTCGTTTTATGATAACTTCTTAGAATTTAGATTTTATTACATTAAAAAGCTTAAGTAAATACTTAGAAAAAGTAATTTAAAAGTTACTGGCCATGACCTGAGTCTAAGCTGGATCCTGACATTGCTGAGGTTTTTAGGATGAGTTTAAATTTGTTTGTACTGTACCTTATGTAAGAGGTGGAAGCAGAGGCAGGTTAAGGTAATAAAACTACAAAACAAATTCCACAGCAAACGCATAATAAATATCTGTGATTTTTTGCTTGTTACCTCAGAGGGCAAGAGGGTGACGGGAACTCTCTCGTCCTCGAGCATGCGTCTGGATGCCTTCTGCCAGTACAGGTAGTCAACCAGGGACCTGTGGTCGAAGCTCCCTGTGGGGGGTTTCTCCGTCTGATCCCTCTGTATCATCCCAGTTGGGACTTCAGGGTCCGGAGCCATGACTTCCATCTCGGACTGCAGCTCCTTTAGCTCCTCGGGGGACAGGTTTGCCAGGATTTCATCTTCATCGATGTCCTCAGGACACACTTCTTCATCAGAGTTTTGGGTGTATTCAGACATATTTGTTCTTCTTCCTTTATTACTTTTAAACCTAAAGAGAAAGATAAATTTTAAAGGATTTTTTTTCCCCCTTCACTAGCAATAGTTCATTCAATTAAATCAACAACTTCATGTTTTGGTCATGAGCTGTGGCAGCTCTCAGTCTCAGTGCAGGCGACAGACCGCACAGCTAAGTCTATATTAAGCTGCACTTGGCTGGATAAAGAGAATTTATGGCGATGCTGCCACGCTCCATTTCAAGCAACCTATCAGCTGTGCAAACCCTTCTGACATTTCAGTGCAGCTGGTGCATCCCCCATGGCGTAAGGCAGGAGACGGACATCTTCTAGAGGATTCCTGGGGCACTTCACCTTCCAGCGCTTCGCCCCGTGCTTGAATCACTGCAGGCAGGTGGAGGGATGTTAGTGGTACCTGCAAGGTGGGTGGGTGGAATTCTGCACTGTGGGAAGAAGCAGCACAAGATCTCTCTATCCGTAAGGTCTTGGGTATCTCAAAAGGGCCAGGGACTGCAGGCTCTTCGCTGCCTTGAGCCAGGTCTAAACCCTGACCTAACACTGCAGGTGCTTTTGGTGTGAGCTGAGCCATCGTGCAAATCGATGGGCTCGCCCAGACGCCGGATCCGGAAGAAGGCAGTCGGAAAAAGAACAGTCAATGCAACACACACCTTGCCCTTGGGGCAGGTGTCGGTGTGGGGACAGGCACCAGCCCTTTGAACCAGCCTGGGAGGTCCCAGAGGGAGCATTTCCCACAGCCTGCCTGTGCCCTGCCCCTGCCCAGGGCAAGGCCAATGTCCTGTTTCTTGGCCAGCCTGTCTCCATCATGGACATTATTTACACTGGCAACAGATCTTGGCTGATAGTTCATCTCAGGTTCATTCTTTTCCCACTTTTTACCATTCTTTTGGGTTTTTTTTAGAGAATTAATAAGCAACTACGAAGATTCACTTTGGTAGCATTCGTAGAACTGATGTAACTACAGGTTACCTGATTTTATTTTTTTTCATTAAAAATGTCCCTTCCAGCTTTGTACCTCCTTCTTTGTTCAGAATATTTTATAGGCTTCTAAATTTATACTGCAAACCAGAAATCATCTCTCCAACACCACTGTACTCATGGCTGGGTTTTAAAAGCTGAGTAGCATGGGTGGGTAATTTTTCCACTACAGTGCAATTGAAATTTTGTGCCATGGTTTGGACTGTTTGTAGAATTAGGAAGATTTGCTCTCATAATTTCAAATATTCTTTGCAGCGGGCTTTGAATCGCATCCTCACCTTGCAGCTGTGAAAACGTCATTCATAGGAAAGAAATCAAAGATGAGAGGCTGCGAAACCAAACCCCACCAATTTTTAAGCCAATTTTTTAAGCGGTCTCAACCACTCTCTGCTGGAGTTTGCCAGCAGGAAAATAGTCTTGACATGACGATGGTCTCTCTTCGCTGTGTTTTGTAACAAGAACATGGTGTTCAAAGCCCTGTTAACCTTTATTAAAAAAAAAACATTATCCAAAGGTCCTCGTTTAATTAATGCTGTTACACAGCAGGGAAGAAGGCAAAAATTTAAGAATGAAATAAGTGGTAAGGAAAAAATTATAGAAACCCAAGCCAAGAAGGTAATGGCTCTGTTTGCCCCTTTGGTATTTCAGAGGACATCCTTATTTTATATTATGCAGCAGCAAGCACAACAGCAGACCCACACATCAATCTATCTGGTCTAAGCAGTTTTAACCCCCTGTGATTGCTGTCCATAAATAGAGTCCATAAATGGTTTCCTGATGTTATCAAATAAATCAATGCTCTTCAGTAGCTGGTATGTTATTCTCCCAAACGATGCCGTTTGGGTCACAGAAGCTGCCTATTCAGTGGTTACTTATCTCTTGCTAATTTCTTGACTGTAAATAAAGCCTGTGGTCACCTTCTTGTATTTCCATGATCTTCAGCCAGGCCATCCTGGGCCATGGGCTTGTCAGATTTGCTAAGTTAAGTAGGGTCAAACCCATGAAGTCCTCTCAAGAAAGGAAACAGGGATACTGAGAACACTATCAAGTATTTGAAAAGCAGGTTTTCCTCTAAGTAGCAATATATCACCTGTTGATACCATGGTTAGGAAACACTATACTTCTGGGAGTCAGATGCAGAGTGAAGGGCTGCCCACTGACACCTCTCCTGGTGACTCAGGTGTTAATCCTACAGATTTCCAAGGTGGGTATCACATTTTGCCTACTTCAGGTCTCTCCTTCATAAATTACCTCGAGTTCAGGCTTCACTTCCTTCCCTAACACGTTGCTTAGTGGTTTGGAGTGTTGGAAACTGCACATTAGGGCAACAAACGCTGACCTCTGGGCCAAACCTTGAAGTCTTTTCCATGGCAAAACCACCATCTTCTTCCCAATAACATTTGTGGGTCTACCCCTGAAATAATCACTCATTCCTCAACCTTCATTAAGACAGGAAAGCCACTTTCATCAGTAGCACTTGCTATTTTCACACCAATTTGACGCTGGCTCAGGAATCCCTGGACTAATAAGCTGCTGCAGGAGGTGCTCTGTTACCGATGGGCAGAGCTGTGCCAGCACCTATGCTCAAAGAATGAGCAGAAGACAAAAGGTACCTGCAGCGATCACAAAGCGATCCCCTACGGGTGCCAGCTCAAAATTCATCCTAAGCACTCACCTAACAAGTGTTAAATTTAGGCACTTTAGAAGAAAACTCGCAGAAGATAATGTAACGAGCAATTCATACTTACTGCTTGCTGTTCCTGAGGCAGGTACTGGTGTATGGAGGAACTCTTGCATGAAAGCCAGCAGGCTCTCACCCAGGATCATCTCACTTCATTGTTTTTTCTCATTCATCCATTTTCTTCAAAACTTCTAAACTATTGCTCTTGAAAGCAAAGGAGTTGGCAAGTTTTGAACTCAAATGTCAGGAGAGGCCAACCCCTGTATCACCATTTGGCATGAAGCAGGCCATCAAACCACGCTTCAAGTGCCTAAGACGTGTTCTATTTTTAAGGTAATTGATGGGACACATGCCGATGCCAAATGCCGGAGAGCAATTTCTATCATGGTGCCTTTTTTTTTTTTCTTGTAAACCACACATATTTATTTCCCTTTATTACCAATCCATGGCATTTCCAAGTGCCAAGGCATTAACTGGAATGAGTCGTAGAATGTGCCTGTGTAACATAACCTTGCATCACTTTTAAGAAACTCTTAGGCTTGATGGGGCAGTCTAAAAATTGACAAACAGTAGCATATATCAAGCACGTCCAGTGATGCAGTGTAATGCAATATGGGGATTATAAAGGGTCAGATGATGAGATCTTAACAAGTACTGAGTAACGAGAGCAATCATAGAGAGACACCCTGCGGGAAAAACACCAGGGATCATCCTGGGAAAAAAAAAAATGAAACCCACCACAGGTCCAAACTGTTACAGATATAAATATATCAGATTAAGTTTGTTGCTTAAATAGAGGAAGGACTTTCTAAGCACTTGCCCAAGTTGCTTGACAGAGAGCAGCAACGCCAAGCCCCGTGTGAAGCGGCAGTGGCTGGTGTGGGG